AATAATTGAACGTGAGTTTTTCTAATACATTTAGAACGCAAAAGGGTACTCAATGAAAGTTGGCTAAATATGTTTGTCAAGTGTGGCAAATGCATAACTGAATGGCCCTAATGTTACCATTTTAATTTGTTAAATATACATCAATCATCACCTACATTTGCCGATTATACCTCAAAATGATAAAAATGAAACGAAAACAAAAATTACATTTTGGCATACAGGTCGGGCCCAAATCTAAAAGAGAGTAGAAGGGAGAAAACGTGTTGTTAATTAATGATATAAATATTGTTAACTAGAACTTTCTTAATAACTAGAGTTATTGAAACTAATGGGTTCTTGACATGGAAAGAGGGAAAATAGGGAAGGAGGAGAAGAAAGCAAATAGAAAGAGAGTAGGAAGGAAAGGGGTTATGTGCTATGAACTTGGGATATAATTTTTATTTTTCTTACATATTGAATGGTAACACACAAAATTATACTTAGATATTTTTTTTTGTCAAAAGATATCATATATTGATCAAATGAAATAGATAGTTACATCCTGGAAACCAGTCAGGTCTGGAAATCAAAGAAGCGACTCGTAGTCGAATACAAAGAGAGGGTTTTTCTAGCTACCGAATGAGCTACCCTAGATATATAAATTATATTAAAATATTAAATTTCTTCCTTACGCCCATGTATTTTTGAATATGTCTAAAATGAATTAAACAGGTTGAAAATCGATATGACCATTGAATCTTAAAATACTTACTTTATTAGTTCAATTGCTTAAACAGATTGAAAACCGACCCGACCATTGAATCTTAAACTACTTACTTTATTAGTCCAACTGTTTGAACTGGTTAACAATTTTCCTTAATTTCACAAATATTGTTTTTTTAATTTACCTGCTAAAATATCAAATGACCTGGTGGCGATGAAGGAATTCTTACCAAATCAATCACTGATGTTGACATTTTTTCTCTTTACCGCTTGCAAGAATGTTTGCAAATAACCGTAGGATTCTTTCCAATTTTCGTGCAACTTCTCTAATGCTCTTTGTTTCCCATACCAAGCCTTCTTGTTAGTAACTTGCATATAAAACTTATCTTTCAACTCGGTCTGCACAGTTAGAACACTCAGATTTGGTAGGCACGTATCAAATGCTTCACGGCCTCCGATATAACGTCGACATTAAGATGACAAAGATCCGGCGGTTGAGTCGCACTGGTACAAGAAGGCATCAATTCGAACTTTCTCACAGTCCATTCGCTTCCAACATCTCGACATCCAAACCGCACCATCCAAGCATAATTTTCATACTTGTGCTTCAAGCATTTAACCTTTCGGATTGAAGGTGTCGACTCCACCACGACATGGTGAAAGTTGAGTTGTAGTGCGTGATATTTAATCGCCACCTGTGCAGCTTGTTTGGAGTGAAATATCTGCCCCTTGTAGAATTATCCTTCGAAGCCAGCAACAATAGGCATTGGAATTACGCCATATGAATCAACATATGATAATTCATCGTCCTCTTCATTACACTGCAAGTTGAAATTTGGAGGATAATTAAGCTCTTCTTCTTCTTCCTCCTCCTCCTCCTCCTCCTCCTCATCATCCTCCTCCTCTCTATCATCATAGTCACGATCAGATGCCACCCTGCATGTCTCATCTTCACCCTGACCCTGACCAATCTCAGCATGTATTTCACTTCAGCACCTAAACAATAAAGGTTTTGTGCCATAAAATTGAAAAGCACATTCAATCTATCATCATCCACAATAGGAATCGCATAATGAAATAGAACACCATTCTGCCATTATGGAATGTGAAACTTGTGATCATATGACTATCTTGTACTACTTCGCCATTACGCCGTATCCTCGCAACTAGATTCTCACAAAATTGGTAATATGTCACCCTCCATGGAACTGTCAACTGAAAGCTTCTACCACCAACGAAATGGACGTCCAAATTGTTCTCTACTTTTTCCGATTTCTACTGAACAATTAGTTCAAATCATCTAAAATCACTACATAAAAAACAAATTCACTAATTACTAACTAAACAAAATCATAATAGCATTTTAAGAAACTAATAAAAAAATGTGTCTCTTACCTATTATCCATCTTTGTAGCAACCAAAGAGTTCTTTGCTTAGCTTCGTAACATATTTTTTTTTGTGTTGAGCAATATTGAAACTGCAACGGACATTTTATATGGTGTTTGGCAAGAGATAGGCAGATAGCTTACGCGTATGCGCAGTGCTGGCCCCTATCGGGGTGAATCGAGAAAAAGAAGGGGAAAAGTTTATTAGCGTCAGCTTAGGCGTATTCGCATTTCAGTGCTCAATAAGCGCGAATTGAGAAAAGAAGAGGGCAAAGAGGATTCGCTTGAGCTCATGCGTTTTCGCTTATGTTGGGGGTATTTTCGCTACTCACGCGGACTCGCTTTTTCTTGCCTTCAAAACACAATATATGTGTTAATAGTTTTTAAACCACTTTATTTGTGGTAATATAAAAACAAAAACTTTGGAATTTACCCAAAGAAAACGTGGTGTTAATAAATTATATAAAGATCGTTAACTAGAATTCTCTTAATAACTAGAGTTATTGAAAGTAATATGTTCTTGATATGAGAAGAGGGAAAACAGGGAAGGTGGAGAACAAAGCAAATGGACATAGAGGGGTCGGTTAGCATGCTAACCCCTTTTGAGGGATTGGAAAAATGAAACCCCTTGGGGTATTAAATACAATTATATAATTTAATACACACATTAAATACACATTAGAAGTTAAATGCACCATATCGTTGAGAGTGAAGAGCAGGAGCGACGCGTATCTTTGACTCTTCATCAAATTCAAGAATGAACGAATGCGGCGAAGTTCTGTGAAGAACCAGATTGGGTAGTGATGGCCCGTCGATCACGACAACTCAGGGAGATGTTTCGACTATGGCAGCTGTTTTGACGAAAACAGCCCCCGAGCTCTGCTGATTTCTATTAGCTGTTGTTTTTCCCCTTCTCTTTTCTTCGTTTTTTTTTTAGCTTTTATGTCTAGCTCTTTCATTCTGATTTTAAAATTCTCTCATGGAAGTGGCTGGTGCTGGGGGCAAGTCTTTCTTACGCTCTCTCCGATTTTCAATCCAGCTCCACCGGCCTAACTTTGTTATTTTGTTGGAACCGCAGGTCAGTGGCGGATTCTGTTTGCGAGAAACTAGGCTTCCCCGATGTTGCTCGCGTTGAAGCCACAGGTCGGAGCGGGGGCATCTGGGTTTTCTGGAATGCGCAACAATTTGATGTCCATATCCACTCTGCAGGCGATCAGCATCTTACTTTGACCATTTGCCAAAGAAGCTTGCCGAGTTGGTTCTTGACGGTGATTTATGCTTCTCATCCACAGCGGCCTCAAAGCCTGCTCTGGTACAACCTGGTTGAAGAAAGCAAGAACATCACCCGTCCTTGGATCCTGACTGGTGATTTCAACGCTATCTCATCCCTGGACGAAAAGAGCGGCCCTTGTACTGCTGCCACTCTCCGTAGATGCAGAAGTTTTAGCCAATGGATTAACCAGGCGGAGCTAGTGGACTTGGGATTCTCCGGCCCTCGCTTTACTTAGTCAAGGGGATCACAAGCTTCCACGTTCAAAGCGAGCAGGCTGGACCGTAGTCTCTGTAACCTGAGTTATGAAGTATTCCCTGACACCACTGTCCTTCATCTAACTCGAGTGGGTCTGATCATCACCCAATCCTCACTTCTGTTGCTCGCCAGGGAGTCTCGCAACCCTCTTCTAAGCCATTTAAGTTTGAAGCAGCTGGGATTACGCATGATAATTTTCATAGTTTTTTAGCTGAATCATGGAACTCACAGGCTGCTCTCCCTCTTGCTTTGCAGGATCTATCTTCCAAGCTGCAAAGTTGGAATACCATGGTTTTTGGCAATATATCTCAAAGGAAAAGACATTGTTGGCTCGCATTAGTGGTGTGGAGAAACGGTTGGCTGGGGGTTTCTCTCCTGGACTAGCTAAACTCCATTCCAAGCTTTCGACGGAACTAGACAAGGTCTTGGAGCTGGAAGAATTGTTGTGGTTCCAAAGATCTCGGGAGAACTGGGTCAAGTTTGGGGAGAAGAATACCTCCTATTTTCACCAACTAGCCAAAATCAGATGGAGGGCCAACAAGATTGCTTGTATGAAGGATGAGAATGGGGATTGGGTGATGAATAGACAACAATTGGCTTCCATGGTTTTCCAATTTTATTCTGGGTTGTATCTGCAGGATCTGAATCATCTTCTCTGGCCTTTTACAATCCAAGATGTTCATCGAGCTGTTTTTTATATGAAACCGTTTCAGGCCCCGGGCCCGGATGGTTTTCAAGCTATTTTCTACCAGCACACTTGGAAGAATATGAAGAATCCCTTACTGACATGGCCATCTCGTTTTTTGAGGAAGGTGAGCTACCAGATGAGGTTTTTGCATCTACGTTGGTGCTCATCCCCAAAGTAGAGAATCCCGAGACTGTTGGGCAACTCCGGCCGATCTCTCTTAATAACGTCAGTCTCAAGGCCATCACTAAAGCTATGACTAGCAGGCAGAAGACTGTTATGAGCACTCTGGTCTCTCCATGACAGAGTAGCTTTATTCCTGGCCCGCAGACGACAAACAATATCCTTATTGTTCACGTATTTCTCCACTCTATGCGGAAGCGGCGAGGCAAGAAAGGAGGGTTGGTAATGAAAATTGATCTTGAGAAGGCTTATGACAAGCTCATATGGGATTTTCTTCGGGACACTCTCATTGAAGTTGGTCTCCCGAGCTCTTAGATTTGCTGCATCATGTACTGTGTCGAGAAGAATGCTATGCGCATCCTCTAGAACGGAGAGCTCTTGCAGCCCATCTCCCCGACCCGAGGTGTTAGATAGGGAGATCCTCTTTCACCTTATCTGTTTGTTTTATGTATGCACAGAATAGACCGGGCTGTCCAGGAAAAGTTATGGAAACCTGTCAGGCTATCGCCATGGGGCTCGACACTAACTCTTTTTTTGTTTTGCAGATGATCTTATTCTTTTTGCAGAGGCGGAAGGCTCTCAGGTCCGGATTATCAAGGAATGCTTGGACGAGTTTTGTGCTAGCTCTGGCCAAAGAGTGAACTTCAGTAAATCCTTGCTCTATGTCTCACCGAATATCGGCCAGCCTCGAGCTCAGCGCTTAAGCGACCGAGCTGGCATTCCTTTGACTCTTAATCTGGGTCGCTATCTTGTTTTGCAAGCGATTCATGGGAGGATTGGACATGTTTCGCCCGAGTCAGGGAAGTTCTTTTGCTTGGAGAAGCTTTACCAAAGCTTCTAGTTTACTGTAGTAAGGCTGTGGGTGGAATGTTCACTGCGGGAAAGAAACTAAGTTTTGGCGTGATCTCTAGTTGATGCATCCCGCTCGTGGAGATGGCTCTTCAACCGGTGCCAAGTGAGATGATGTTGGATTCAGTTGCAGAATATCATGGAGAAGATGGAACTTGGGATGTGGAGCGGCTGGCCCCCTGGCTACCAGCGGAGGTTCTGCAGAAAGTGACTGCGGTGGCTGTTGACCCTCTCTCCACCGAGAAGGATACGATCTTCTGGACGAGATCCTCTAATGGTTGTTTCTCCACGAAAACAGCCTACCTTTTGGCTAATCCGCCTCAATATGATTCCCGGCAGCAGTTGGGGAAACAAATTTGGCAGCTCCCCGTCCCGGAAAGAGTTCGGTGTTTTTCCTGGCTGGTTTACTTGGGCAAGATTGCGACGAATCAGCTGAGATTCTCTAGAAAGTGCTCACCGTCCTCCTCCTACTACCGCTGTGAAGATGTTACTCATTTGTCATGTCCTCCGTGATTGCCCGCCTGCCGCTTTTCTTTTGGAGTAGGCATGTGCTGGCGACTGAGCAGCAAGTTTTCTTCTCAACATCAACTAGAGACTAGTTGTAGAAGAACCTCCTCAAGGATGAAACTATGGCGTCAGGTGCTAGTTGGAATGCTTTTTTCAGCATAGCGATTTGGTGTTTGTGGAAGAACAGGTGCACGGGCTGCTTCAAAGGGACTGCTGCTACTCTGACTGCCCCGTCCCTGAGTCACTCGATCACGCATAAGATCATCCTTTGACACAAGGCGTGGAGTGCCCCCTCAATCTCTCTAGGTAAGCCTAGAATTATCCAAGACAAAAGGATAGAGAGCATTAGGTGGCTTCCCCCCCCCCCCCCACCCCCATGGGGTTGGCTGAAGCTTAATGTGGATGGGGCTTCGGCACGAAATCCTGGGATTGCAGGGGCTGGCGGGTTAATTAGGGATGAGCAGGGTCGTTGGATAGCCAGTTTTGTGGCTAAGATTGGGGACGCCTCGGCGGCTCTTGTTGAGCTGTGGCCAATTCGGCATGGATTGGATATTGCTTGGCGTCACAGGTGCACGAACTTGTTCTCCTTCTTGGCTTTGGCCTCCCTTAATGTAAAAAAAAAAATGCACCATATTAATTATTTGTTTTTTTTATCAAATTAAAACCTACACTAAATACATTCTCTCTCCCTATATCTGATTTTTCCTTTTTCATCAGCCTCCGACCACCAGCCTTCTTCCGACCACCAGCCTTCCTCCGACCCCCCACTACTCCGATGAAAATCCCATCGACAGACTCCATCCGACCACCTGCAAAAAATATACCACTGCACTGATACGTTGTACCACTGCACTGGTAGCTATACCACTGCACTGATAGCGATATCAGTGCACTGGTACCAATGTCATATCTGAGTATCAGTGCAGTGGTACAAATACTAGTACAATGGTACAAGATATCAATGCAGTGGTATATTTTTGCAGGTGACCGGAGAGAGTCTGTCGGCGGGATTTTACCGGCGAAGTATGGTGGTCGGAGGAAACTTGGTAGTCGGAGGCTGCTGGGAAAAGAAGATCAGCGATAGGAGTGAGAAAGATCAAAGATGAGAGAGAATTGTATTTTGTATATGTTTAGATTTTTTAAAAAGCAAGTAATTAATGTGGTGTATTTAATGCTTACTTTGTATTTAATAAAAAATATTTATTATGTCTACCTTCATTAATAATTGTCTATGATTAATGAAAAAATTGACCAATTGAGAATGGGGTGTCAAAAAAACAACCCCTTTAAGGGTAGGCATAGTATCCAACCCCGAACATAGAGAAGGGAGGAAAGGGGTTATGTAGCTACCAATGTGGGATACAATTTTTAAGTTTATTATATATTGAATGTAACACACAAAATTAAGCTTAGACATAAAAATTATATTAAAATATTAAATCTCTACCTTACACCCATGTATTTTTTAATATGTCTAAAATTATGCTTGGTCGGGCAAATTGTTAGTTAACTAAATAGGTGCAAACTTCTTGGAAAGTGTATTTGCATGCAAGATTTGTACCCAATGACTGGGCCACATTATATTTAGTTCGTATGGTCTGGTACAGTACAGTCCGAGACAGACCAATCCGTTGCACATCTTTACCTTTTTTTTAGAAATCGCACACCTCTAATCTTATCATACTAATAAGGACAATAAAAATCATTTCGATTCATACATACAAATCTAATTAACAAAATCCATCATGATATCTATGAACGAACAATAGTGTTTTTCAAATCTATACCGAACCAAAACTCTCAATGGTTTTTCAAAACCTAGTTGTACTACATCGTTCATTTTTTAGATCCACTAAGCAAACGACCGTTTAGTCCACTAGGGGTGGCTATACGGTCCGGACCAGTTAAAATGGCCCGAATTAATCTGGTCCCGGTCCGTTCTTTTCAAGAATATAAGAACCAAAGATTGGATAGGATACAGTCTGGGCTTGATCCAGTCCGATTTTGATCCGGTATAGTCCCAATTCAGTCTTGATTTTAGATTAACCTTGTGGGGATTTGAGCGTCCTGAGCGGGGTATTGAGCAGCCTGAGGCCTGAAAGGGTGAGGTTAAATTTGAAGTGTTGGGCTTTCTTATCCGATCTTTATCAGATTTTTTATCAGGTCCCGAACAGTTTTTTATCTCAAATCTAGACCCGAAAATTGGATTGGATTATTTGCTATCCGGTTTTGGTCTGATCTCGGTCCGAATTATACGGTCCAATTCGGATAAAACAAAAAAGCCCAGACCAAATAGTCACACCCCTATAGTCCACAAAAATCTTAAGATTCCTAGCTGACACAATAGGGATGGCAACAAAACCCGAACCCACGGGTACCCATCCGACCCAACCCGGTCAACGCAGGTCAAATCCGTGTTGACGAGTTTTGGGCCGGATTTGGGTTTAAACCCGTTCACTATTCACCGGGTTGGGTTTGGGTTTAGGTAAACGCGACCCATGGGTACCTGCCCACACTCATATAATTAATTTTTTAGCATATTTAATATTCTAAACAACTAATGTTATTTATGTTTGTGGAGACAAATCTATATTTTTTTTTTGGCATATTTGATATTTGAGTTTAATTTTGATAGGAACTAGTTTTTGTGAATTTTTTTACGACAAAAACTCGTGGATACCCATGAACCCACGAATACTCAGCGGCTTGGGTTGGGTTTGAGTTTTTCAAACCATGTGGATTTTACCCCGGGTTTTCTTCACGAATAAACCCATGGGTTTGGGTTTGGCAAAACCCAACCCAGTGCCATCCCTAGTACACAATACAAATGCAAAGCAAAGAGCCAAAGATCAAGTCGCTCAAAAAGCAACAGGATTAGCGGCCTCCCTTAATTTTTGGTCGTGGAGGTTGGTACCTTCATCAACGTCTCCACGGTGTTACACTAATACAGAAACGAGCTATAATAAAGGCAGACCACCCTGAAACACACCAACTGATGGGGTGACTATATTGATTTGCTGCAACTGGACCAGAAAAACTCGAAAAATGTTCCTTGAAGTTAATGTATAAAAATATCTCGACCCCACAAAATGAAATGTCGATTTTGGCAACTCTCTAACAATTCCAGGAGTGATTCTGCGATCTTTGGCTCAGCTCAAAGATGGAGATTAAAGACTAAACCTCAAGAATGTACGGCAAGATGCAACAGATGATGATTAACTAACTACACAACTGAAGACTCAGGTGTATCTCACTTTCATCTTCCAGCATAAAAGTCCCTTTCCTCAACAACTATTTGCTCCTATTACCAACTCCCCTGATAAAAATTTCTAGAAACATTGCCGCTCTCATTGGAAAACATGGAAAAAAATCAACTAGATGCCCAAGTTAAACAACTAACGGTAACTAAAGAAAGCCATCTCTCCCACCAAAATCGCTGTCTTATAAAGAGCTAAGTACTTGGGGCAGGAATCAGTTGTTACTTCAGATAGGTGGAGGAAACCCACAGCAGCACATAGGTTAGTAACGAAGTTATCACTTCAAAGCTCCTAGGTCCTTTAATTATTGGTACTGGAGGGATTATAGATACCATCAAGAAGGTTCCGATCAGCCATGAGAAAATGAAAGCTGCAACCCTGCAAATTGGAAACAAACAAGTGCTAAAGCTTTACCACTCCATTTAGCAGACAAGTGAAAACAAAATGGAAGTGGAAGCAAGCATATAACACATACCCATAAAGCACAGCTCTCAGTCTGCTCTTCAATCGGTCATATATGAAGTACATAGTACCCACCAGAGAGATGGCTACTTGAAGGGTTGGGCCTTCCTCAGTTGGAAACAGAACAGTGAGAGCTCCAAGTACAAGGAATGCAACTGTTGTTTTAACAATGAAACTTGTTGATGGCGTGCAGAATCTGTTTGTCACGGCCTGCACAACTCGGGACTGCTTAACTTCCCTGACCTTTTTGTTGATATCGATTTTGGGGTTCTTTCTATCATAAAACTTCTGCATAATTATCTTGTCATGGGCTGTTTCAATCGCATCCACACTCGGTTTGTGTCCACCATATCTTTGAATCAGGAAGTTTCGTGCACCTTGAATTTCATCCTCAGAGGCCTCCCTGCTTATCCCAAGCCGTTTGTAAGGGTCCCTTACATTGATTCTGGGAAATACAACTGAACTTGCAGAGACAGTTATGATAAAAAGAGTAAGAAAAAGAAAAATCTTGATTGCTATCTCAGTCTAAATATTTCACCAACACCAACGATTAACTAAATCGTATTGGTGCTTCATGAAGTCAACATAAGGTACAATATAGACGACAAAAGGTTATTGGTACAATGAGTCATCAAGAACAAGCAAAAATGATATATATGCATCACATAAAGCGCAAAGAAATACAAAAAAATCCACCTAACCACTAGAAAGAACATCAAGAGAGATCCATCCTATCTAAAATCTAATAATTATAGACATACTCATAACTGGAAACACGTACAAGAACATCAAGTTCATTCCTGTGATTTACTTCAAAAAGTTCAACGGAATCAAATGAGACCATCAAACTGATAAGTAACCAAGATCACGGCCTCACATATGGAAGAAAAGGGTACACAACTACTTTAACCGAATGTCTGTTCTACACAAAACATGCCATATGCTTCTTGTCAACAAATGAACACGGGCTTCCCCAAATTTCAGAATTAAAATCATTTTTCAGCCAAAAATACTTCTGCAACCCATAAAAGAGTGAAGCCGACGATTTAGAACATTCAACCATCAAGAAGTTTCGTGAATACCAGATTCGTGATCCGTCCTATCTCCACCATACGAAGCATCCATAATGCATTTGAGTACATAAGTTTGCCGTGGTTTGATTGTTTGCACCAGTGTTGTTGCCCAACTTCTGCAGAGCTCCACCAGGAAGACCAACTCATTTAATTCACATAAACTCCCAAAACTCGAGGGATGAAACTGAACGATTCAACAATCAACACAAAATACCTTTGCAATGGGAGAAACCCAATCTTCTTCTCTCTAATACTATGCCCGCCACTAACGGCTAGCACATGTCGGCTGGAAGACCCCAAGATAGGTGCCCACACACCACACTTCGAGGGAGCAACAGCCAGTCCAGACATACTCATCTCTACAAAAGTCCTCTATCAAGAAAGCAAAATCCAAGTTGGAAGCTATACAACCCTGCTAAACCAGTCTAGCGAAAGAGTATGCAGATTTCCAAATCACCGAAATTAAGAAGATAAGGATGAATCCAGAAGAAAAAAGGTGCTGGAAATTCAGGAATTGAAGTCATGGGGCGCAAGAGAAGAGCTGTATGAGAGATAACCTTACAAGAGCTGCCGGCTTCCTGCGACGGAGAGTCGGAGTCAGAGAAGCGAGGGGCTTAGAGGAGGCGGAAGAGCACTAAACCCTCCTGCATAATTCCGAGGGGAAGGAAATGGCTGAGCTTTGGATTTTGTTGGAGAAACACAAGACAAGAGACTGCTCTATGTGGGACCCTTTTGCCGCCGGTGACTTTTTTTTTTAAATTGCAAGTTTGGTCACTGAAATTAAAAAGTTTACGTTTATCATTAAAATTAATTTATTTCGTACATAGATTAGTACAACCGTTTAATTTTGATCACTCTCCGTTAGTCTCCTCCGTTAATTTTAACTAATGTCGCAATTAACCCTGAAAGTTAACCCTTAACTAAGTGATGTGGCAATAAAAATAATAAAATCTTTAAAAAATCTCATCTCATTATCACAATAAATTATAAAATAAATAAAATAATAATAATTGCAATAAAAAAATGCAAAATTGAAAAAACCAAATTTTTTCTCTCACTGCTTCTTCTCCAAAAGGGGAGAATCACTCTTTCAGCTCGTGGAGATCGCCCGATGACCCGTCTCCAGGGAACTTTATTTTGAGGGAGGACCCGCACGGGGCACCGTAGATGGTGATTTGGGAGAATGGGAATCGGCGGTGGCGGAGCGGGCTGATTTTCAATGGAGTCCCTAGCATGACGACGCAGAAAAATTTCCAGTACGAGTTCAAGTTGACCTAAGAAGACGACGGGTGGTTGTACTTCAAGTACAATCCGGCCAACGCCTCTGCGCTCTTGCGGTTCCGAATCGGGTGGGACGGGATTGAGGAGTAGCTCCGGGGAACAAAAGTCGGATAATCTTGGACGTGCTGCAGAGGGAGCCGGAGAACGAGTGGAAGACGTACAATCGCTGCGGCAAATTCGCCGGTGGCCAACATGTTCCTGTACATAAGGGTTCCGGCCGAGAAACCAGTCATGATGGAATTCCGAGAATTTCACCGGTGGATGCCAGAGGTGGAATTATTATTATTTTTATTATTTTATTATGATAATGAGGTGGAATTTTAAAAAAATATTTTATTATTTATTAATTTTTAATTGTCTTGTCACTTATTTAACTGTCAACTCTCACAGTTGACTACCACATCAGTTAAAGTTAACAGAGACTGACAGAGAGTGACCAAACTTGAATTGTTGTACTAATCTAAGTGACTATGGATGGAAGAAATTAATTTTACTGGCAAACGTGAACTTTTGCAATTTATCCCTTTTGTCATAGATAAAAGGAGGCAAAAGTACATAAACACAAGATCATCATAGATACGATAGTCACTACTAAGTGAACTATCGATGCAAGAGTCTTGTAAGCCACAATATGGATAGCCCTGAACAGCCTAAGCATAATAAACTGTTAATACAGAATAAACTCATAAATAAAGTAAGATAATGAGATATTCATGTAAGTAGTTCCACCTACAAAATGAATAAACATATAAACTGCTAAACAGCTGAATTACCACAACCTCTCTACCTTCTTCTGCAATTCCTCCCTTTGGGAACACTCGAGATCTTCCCCCTCTTCAATGCTTTTTCCTCCTCTTCAACCTCTTCTTCCTCCTTCTCATTCATGTCTTCAAGCACGCTTTGGAGGGCAAGATGCCATGCAAGCTCATAGAAGGGATTCTCTTGCTCCTCCACACTCGTGTCTTGGTCTTCAAGGTTGCTCTCGGGAAGGGGAAGATGATGAGAATCGTCAATGCAACCTTCTTGTTTATCCTCATCAAGGGGGATCTCTGGGGTGACTTCGTCTTGCTCCACACGGTTGTCAATGCTCGCCCTTTCAACCTCCTCGTTCTCCTCTAATAATGAGAGGCGAGAGCTTGCACAAGCCCGTTCCACCTTCTCCTCCAATAATGAGAGGCGATAGCTTGCACAAGCCCGTTCCACCTTCTCCAAAAGTGTCAAACCGAGAGGAGGGAGGGGCTGAAATCCGTGTTGGATCTTGTTCATGTAAAATTCACCATGGCAAGCTCCAACCTGGACTTCACTTCACTTCGAGAACCCTTCATCGGTGCATCAAACAAATCGCTCCACCTTGAGCTCCAATTTGCTCTTTGGCTCTGGTTGTGTAGTGGCACATGGTCTTGATGATTGTCCCATGAAAGCTTCCATGGCCAACTCCAACTTGGATTTCTCCTCGGGTTGTGGAGGGAAATCTTCATATTATGGGGAAGCCTCTTGACTCGCTCCTATCGTCACTCTAGAAAATGGCCAAGTGTAACCACCTCCTAAAGCGTAGTATAGCGGGTTTGGGTTTTAATGTCAACCCGGGTCCTAGATGTGAATGGGATGGCAAAAATATCCGTAACCGTGGATATCCACCCGAATCCGACCTAATCGGGTAGGGTAAAACCCGAACCCGAAGCATTTTTCGTGGGTACGGGTAAAACCCGAACCCGAATATTGCGGGTAATGGGTGGGCATGGTTATCTCACTATCCAACCCGAACCCACCCGATTATACACATGCATATGTATTTTGTCTAAAAACAATCATTATTTTTCCCTAGAATATTTTATATTTAGCATATAAATATAATATTTTCATGAAATTATGTTGTTTTAATTAATTTTCGTCATTCTAGTGAATTATTGTCGTACTTTTCCTCTTACGTAATGTGAGTATACGTGTGAATGTTAACATATTGGTTTGAATTATAATTGGAAAAATTATTACCCATGGATAACCGTGGATACCCGAAACCCGAACGGGCATGGGTATGGTTTAATTTTCTACCCGTTTCTCGTGTGGGTATGGGTATGGGTAAAACCCGAACTACATTGGGTAGGGTAACGGATATGCACTATCCGCCCCCGACCCGACCCATTGCCATCCCCAGATGTGATGACTACTCCGTGAGTTCTTATTATTTAGTAGTGGAACTTTAGTGAAGTTCCAAACAAGCAACCAAGCAAAGCAAGTAAAAAGGTTGTTTTCAAGTCGAAAGAGGTCACCCAGATATGGTTCCCCCCTAGACTGTAGTTAAGCCGGATTGTAATTTACCAAGTTCAGTATCAATGATAGTTATATTGCGGGAGATTCTTAAACAGTCTGAAGTCTCGACTAAAGGTCTCCAGACCCTCTCAATCTGAGTCTCTAGCGGGCGACTAACCTCCACCGGAGTAAACAGATTGAGGCCCTAACGAACCAAACCTCCACTATCGAAGTAAATTCGGTGCAGAATAGTGAATTGACTCCTCGACTAAAGTTGCCAATTCACTACCTTCAATCAAGGGTGCTCTATCAACCTAGGCAGATATTCTCTTTCTAGGTTAAAGCAGAAACAACAGGAATTTGATCAGTATTCATGCCATTCAACAAATCAAACCTCAATTGAACATAATCATACCACTGAATCTGTACTTGGGTTCATACAATCAGACCTAATATACAAATCTAGGGTTCTTCATACCCGGGTGAATAAGAAAGTTACTCCATAGAGAGAGATGGGAAATCTAGCTCACATGCGGAAACCATACTGTGAAGGATGATAATCTGCTTCTGGCACTCAATCAGCTCTTCTCCAAGCTCAAGCCGCACTCCAATGGTGATGGAGATCGATCAAGGACACTTGCAGAATCAGGTTCGTCACTTTCTCTCTCTGGGTATCGCTTTTTCTCTCTAAAACTCTGAACCCTTCACTTTTGCCCTTCTTTTCCCTTACGAAGCTTCTGTCGCAATCCCCGGCCTGAATACCCAGTCGGGTATTTTGGGTAGCGACCGGATATTATCAAAACGAACCGTCGGGGAACAGGGGTAAAATCCCCGGTCAAGGCCAAGAATCCCCGACCGGGAATTTCTGCTCACTGCCCGGGCCCCCTTCTGATTCTCAGAGACGCCCGAAACATAAAATCCCCGGTCTGCTCCAAATAATACCCGGTCGGGTATTTCTGCTCATGGCCGGGTATTTTGCTCCTCCAGCACACTTCACCCCAAACGTGCTCCTTTCGACCCGAAACTCGTTTCTTCGCCTCGATGCCAACGCTAAGCCCTGAAATATGACATAAACGCACAACCTAGCGTGAAATCGGCTTAAAACACGACAATCAACATCTCAAACGGCTCAATAATAGGGGTAAAAACATGTGTAATCAATGGTCTATAAACTCCCCCACACTTAACCATTTGCTTGTCCGCAAACAAACCTAACTCAAACCAATGCAACTCTCCAGACCTCTATAGCAACAAACAACCCCGATCATCGGTATAGGATTTTCTAGATCATAATGCAGCTTACGAGGTCAAGTGGTCTTCTAAGATGTCCCCTATCTCTCTCAATGCGAGTACTAAACTCAAGCCATTCACAACCAAGGGATAAAGGGACTCACACCATTCACAATCAAGGACTCGTTGTACCGGGGTGCTCTTTCACTTCATTTCACCATTGGAACCCCTTTTTCACTTTCATTTTACTTCTTTTTTTTTTCTCATTCACTTAGCGGGGGTTCCAACTGCAGTCTTTTGCACGGTCGACCCTTATTAGTCGAGCAAGAGCAATTTCTGTACATCTGGCGCTCGCCAGAGTACTTCTTTTAACTCCTTTTCCTCAACTCGTGTGGAGGGTCAATGAAATTAAGGGGGGTCGGAAGCTCTATCTGTGCCCTTAAAAACACATCCTCAAGTAGGCAAACCGTTCAACGGGTGGAAGTTTTACTTGTACTAGAGACAGCTTAGCTTCACCTTGTAGGAGTACCCCACTAAGAATCACTAAAATCTCTTCCAAAAGCCGATTTTGTGCAATGAACGGTGCCACACACGTTGGGCTTACCCCATGATTAAGGATTAATGATTTGGGCATGGAGGACCAACTTATTTTCATTTTTCACATGAGCACCCTGTTCGATACACGAGTCCATAACACAATCCAAACAGAGTCACCATTACCACATGAATTCAACGGTCTTAGCTCCTCTAATTCACAAAATCAACTGGCACAGCAGAGAGCTACACTACCTCCCTAGGTTGCACATTACTATAGAGACTGTCAATTCAAAGCATACTGAGCAGGCAATTTGCAAGGAAACACGTACTTGGAGCCCTCAAATTTAAAATTTTGGACAGTGGACTAGGCTCCAAGCACACAAACAGATCTAATGGAGTCAAAAGAGAAGAGAAACAGCCCCCCCCCCCCCCCCCCCCCCACACTTAAGATCGACATTGCCCTCAATGGAGAAGAGGGAAGGATAAGGGGAACGATGTTACCGGTGTGCATGGACTGCATGAGACTGGAAGCAGACCAGTCTGAGTGAAGCGGACTGGAGAGGGGACCAGTCAAGGACAAAGCACAGCTAAAGAGAACAGAAGAACTCAAACACAATACGTTAGGTCCAATGGTCATCCCAATCGTACATCATCCAAAATAAAAAGAAATAAAAGAAAATAAACCAAAACACAAGACAGTTTGCACTCTGACAGAAATGAAAACAACACAAAACGGGGCCACGAGTACAGCCTACTCGAGCCCGGTGAAGTCGATCTGGTCCATGAGGTCGTCGACCCCATCAGTCAGTGGTGGTGGTGGTGGTGGTGATTGGTCCCACCGAGTGGTCCAGTGGTGCTCCTTTAGCGGGTGTTAGGACTGGAGCAGGTGCTCTTGGTACTCCATCATCCGGCGAGCTGCTGGAAGTGGAGCCCCATCTGCTGGAACTGCTCCGGCTCATCACCATCCATGGCCCCGCCATCTTCATCGTCATCATCATCATCATCCTCCTTGCCGGTGTAGTCATCATCCTCCTCGTCCTCATCGAGATCCGCATCCTCCTCAGGGGGCAAGGAGAGCCCATCCACCCAGGAGCGGGTGCCATCAATGGCCAGGCGGAGTGCATTGTGGAGCACGTCCCGGCTGAGGGGGGTGGAGCCGCCTCGTGCAGTAGAATCCGTGAGTCCCTCGAAGCTGATGTCGAAATGGCATGCCAGG